TGGTGAAAAAAAGGATTTATTACATCGAATCGGCGGTTTCTTACGGTCACTGCGAGTTCAACAATATTTCCCCAATAATCAAGAGAAAAATCACGAAAGGCCTGCCAAATAAAATCTTTTATCACTTTATCCGTTAATATTTACAAATAATCTTTTAACTCGTTTTTATTGGCGTAATAATACAGATAATTTTAATTAATTTTTTCTGCTTAAATAAATCAGACAAAATTAATAGGAGCTAGGAACTAGACTTCATTAAGTATAGATTTCTCAATGTTTATATTTTCCTTGTTTATACAACATGCATCAGTAACGTACAAAAAGCAATATCAAAAATAGAATATTAGGTAAATATTTAATATATAGTGATGTTCTTTGTAGTGCGAACGTCAAAGGACAATAAATTTCTGCTGCGTGGCCCAGAGATTGGCATCAAAAGTATCAATGAATAATGTACTAGTGGACTCGGGAATATTGGCAGTCTTACATAAAGCTAAGGAAGGCTCTTGATATTTCAAGTCCCACCGGTGGGACTTCACTTCCCCTTCAACAGGCGCACATAGCCTAACCTCCCCCTGGCTTATACATTTACCTAAGCCAAGCGACCCCATATGCCTTTAACCTTTTCCAGCACCCTTTTACGTTCGCACGAACCCTTTTTTGCCGTACTTTTTTTATAGGGTGAAAAAGCCACTTTTACGCGGAAAAAAGGTTTTAGTGCGTGATTTATTTTAATTTAAAACCAAATACAACCAAGTAATAAATTTGTACCGATAAAAATCGTGATAAATATATTAATTCATCATTTATTGAAAATATTTATTTATTGGGGGCATCTTGGATCGTATACCCGCGGTTGTAGGTTCGATTCCTACTCTTTCTCCTGAAATTTTTGACCCATCCCCATCCCAAAATTAAGCCAAATTACGCAAAAAGACATGATTATTATTGACATTAAGCAACAAAAAAATCGATTATAAACTGTGTGTATGTGCCCTCTGGAGAAAGTCGTGGAATTTTTTAATGGTGAACGCAAAATTTTGGAGCACAGGAGGTTTAACTAGCCACAACTTCTTCAAGCTAAGGGAGTGCATAGGTGTAGCCGGAGCTTCTGTGAAAAATATTTCTATCAGATTTCCAATTATCAAATTGTTGCTATTTCTAAAGCCAGACATTTATAATTTGAGCTACGATTTATTGTACTTTTCCTAGTTCCTTAGGTCAGTTCAATTGACTTGATCCGATCAAGTATTAGGTATTCAACTGTCATTAACTAAATTCTTTCCCTGGGTCTTCTTTCGCACCAAACAAGATTTTAATTATGTACTGTCTGGCAAAGTCATTCTAAGGTATTTGGGTATTGCCAAGTTTTTCTCGTGCTATTGCAGTCATTTCAGGCAAACCGTAATTGAGAAACGAATAATGGTTTGATACATATCTTATTGACTGATCTAAAAGTTTCACTTTTCTGCTCAGATTTTGACATAGATGAATTGGTGCTGGCCATTGAGACGATGATGAAAAACATACGCTCACAAATTATGTCTCTGCAAAAAAACAGACGGCGTTACAGTAGATCTAAGTAATAAACCTGCACCTACCAAGACAATGATTATGAATATTTTTAGGAAGTGGTTTTTTTACTCCTCAGAATAGTGACAAAATATAAATCAAATTAACAAGAATAATTATAATTCTAGCACCTAGGTAGGCACAGCTGTATATGTATAAACAAATAGTAGTTTTCATTTTACTTTAGTTTATGGATAATTTTCACTCATATGCATTTAGTAACACTACTGTTTTCGTCTCTAGTCAAAAGGCCACCAAATCCTCCCATTTGAATGCTACACGCTCCAGTTGATAATAGACGTGTTGCAAAATCTCTCGTCTATTTTATGGATTTCCTTTAATGGTTTGCGATGTACTTAACCCCTAGGTTGATTGTTGCCGATATTTTTTGATCTGCTTTTTAGCTGTTTTTTTTCTCTGCCAGATGAATTTTAACCGAACATTATCAAAAGCGACCAGCAGGCCTTGCTAGACCATGGTTTTATACCGTTTTTGCATAACTTATGCTAATTATGACCTTCAGCACATGAATGAAATACACGTATATGAATGATTTGATTTGAGATTTTGTCATAGTGGAAAGAATTATGATTTTCATCCTCAATCAAATTCATCTTTATCTTTATCAATATTCTCTTTTTTCACTAATTCAATTCTGCATTAATTACAGCGAATTTACATCACATGGGCCAGGTAGTATCGTGTTGAGTAGACAAAAGAGGCCTGTTAAACCCCTTAAAACCGTAAATTTATCAGCCTAGGAATAAAGTTTCTGTTCCCAATTTCACCTTTGTCACTTTATAAACACTCCAACATTCAAATTACCAATGTTTATAAAAATTCACATTACAGTTGTACAAAACTTATAAATTTAGAATTTCATGTTATCTGGAATATGAGGTTTAACTTTTGTAAATCTGACGCCTACATTTCTTGATTTTTTTTGTATGCTTTTGTAAGTAAGTAGTAATGAAATGTTCCATTGGCGTTTTGAGTAAACGCTTTTGACACCTTGAATTGGACAATTTCAACGATATGACCGACTGTGTTCGTTAACAAATGAGGCCCTTTTATGTCTCTAGGATGTTCGCACCGACCAGGCGAACAAAGGGATGCGAAAAAAGTCTCTTTTGTATTCACGCCTTTTCAATTCGCCTGAAAGGTGTCCGGACTGTCGAGAAGGAAACCTTTAAGGTTTTTCATTCGGTCGAAATGTTCCAAATGCCTCCTAGATTGAGATTGCTAAGAATTATACGAATACGGTCATTTCGTTTTAATTGTATAATTGTGGCATGGAGAATTTTTGCAGAATGGCCTTTAGTACTATTGACTATTTTCTCTTTAAAGTGCATTGGAAAAAAACAACTGCATCGTGTTTTCTTAGAAAATGAAGCGTTAAAGAAGAAATAAACAGTGGTAAATTTTGCACTATAATCGTATGTTAAATTATTAATTTACTAAAACTCGAAGGGTGTAATTACTCACTAGTTTTCAGTAATGTATGTTCGGATTTATTTAGAGTAAGTAAAACTATAAAGAATACAAAAATACCAGACAAGCTATAACATAAACTCCAAAAATAAACTATAAATCAAAAAAACCAAAATAAGGATTTCTAAAAGTTAGAGCATAAACAGAGCTCACATACAGAAAGAAATTGACATAAAAAAGAACCAAACTGTTTAAAACCTGCAAAATACTAAAACACTACAGTAAATATACGCAATAAAAATGGGAATAAAAATAAATCAACAGATATTAGAAAAAAATAGATCAAAATATAAAGTCATATAGTAAATAGTAAGAACAGATCATACGTTAATTAACATAGTAGTTGAAAAATGGTCTTTAGATCATCCATCCAAAAACATGGCTTGTCTCCTTCTAAGGTCATATGACCGCTCACGAGCTATGGGTGGGTATTTCTTTGTAAATTATTTACAAATGGTACAATTTTTCTATTTATAATCTATACTACTAGGCATGTATGTCTTATGAAAAAAACGACGCGACACTGCTTACCAAGTCAACAAGAAACTCATAATTTCAAGAAAGTTAACATGACTATGACTATGACATTCCAAAAATGCGACTTATTTGAAATGTTACATGGAAAAAAAAGTTATGAATACAGAAAATGTACAACTTATACTTTGTAGGACCTCAATGAACTGACCGGAACAAACAAAACACAAAATTTCTCAGGTTTCCCTTTTTTGGGCTTCAGGGTGAAGAACCTGTAATTTCGTTGCTACCGATCATTTTGATCCGCCTACTCTCGCTGGTTTAGTCCGACAGACAAGTCCAACCTAACATAGAAAAAAAAGGCAAAAAGCCGAAATGCTTCTGATTTGCCAAACCAGAGTGAATCCGCCCGACAGTCACTCATGATCAAGTGATTATTTAAAAAAAACATCCATTACCTATTACTAATGGAAACAAATTGGAAAAGGTGATCGTATTCATTAATTTCTTAAAATAAAATTTCCTGTCTTAAAACTTATGGATATGCGTTACTGTAATAATGATCACAGCCAACCCACTGACACGCAGTTAACGAATTGGCTTTTTTTTTGTTTAAATGTTAACAATTAAGTGAAAATGAATGTTTTTCTGTGTTTACATTATTTGATGGTAAATTAAAGTTTTAATAATTATTTTTTATTATAAAAAGCGGCTTTTTTAGTCCAAACTCAAATTTCTGATTAATCGAGATTTGATTACCCAGCGATAATTTTCCAACTCGAATGGGTCTTCATGACTAAAGAAGAGTAATGGTTGTTATGTAAAGGAACGGTTTCAAGTGGGTATTAACAGAAAATCAATTTTGTTCATCAGAACTCGTTTTACCCTTGAACCAACAAAATTTGCCGACATTCGACGCCCTCGGCAAATGCACCGTCAAGTGGACGACGAAGTGACGAAACAGGGCGGTCCCTTTAGCTTCATCACTCAGGCAATAATTGAAATTTTAATTCTGTTTTCGTTGAAGATCTGTTTTTTTACTAGCATCGTATATAACTAGGCATGTTATGAGATGTTCAATATGAATGTGCCAATGTTTACAATATGTGCCAATAATGAGTAATTCAGTTTTTTTTTGTGTAACAAATTTAATGTTATAACAGCCAAACAAATGATTAAAACGTTGATGATAATGATGAAATCAACGTTACAGTGCTACAATGGACAGTCGTTGTTTCTTTTATGATATCTACTTTTTCGACAGGTTTACGTTTTTATTATTAGATGCTAGACACTTAAGGTACTGATAAGAGCCTTAAGCCTTCTATTTTCTCTTGTGAATCTCAAGTGAAAATACATGATGTATTAGTAATGCCAGTATGATTTTTAGATGTGATTAGAGGAAATGGAGGCTATTTCCCAGTTGAAATGTAAAAGTTAATTGGCTGGTTTGTCTGTTCCAGGCAGAGGACAAGGGAGTGGGACAATGGGCGTGAATCAACTTTGCTAGTGTACAATGTTGGTGTCCGTGTTGTGCGCGATTTTGCTCGTCGGTCCTGCATTTTCCGAGGAATCGTGCGGTGGCACTCTGACCGAGAGGAATGGCGTTATCCAGACGCCGGGATTTCCAGGACCTTTCCAGGTACCTATATCGTGCACCTGGGTCATAGATTCATCCGCCCAGCCGCCGTCGTCGATCGTGGTGTACTTGACGCAGCTATTCGTCTCCACGGGTGTCACTTTCACGGAATACAGCTTTTACGAGCCGCTATCGCCTTTTCCGCTGGAGTCAAAACGCATTTTCGAAGTGAACGAGCAGAACGTCATCACCACGAGCTGGATTTACACGAGAAATCAGTATTTTGTCATTGAGTTCAAGCTCGACCAGCTCGAAGGCAACCACCTCAGGGTCCTCGATGACCTGCTCGACGTCTACGGGTTCAATATCACCTACGAAATGACGGCCGATGAAGAAGATGTCCCTCTTGTCAGAAACGACTCCTGTTCCGTCCTTGGCTGTTCCTTGGCTGGAAACTGCTACGCCAGCAATGATTTCCAGTAAGTCCACTTATTTTATCAATACTTAATTTTAACTTTACCTTCATATAAATAAGAAGCACGGTTATATCTTAAATCTCTTACCAAAACAATAACCGTGATATTTACAGATTTTAGTAAAATTTTTCTACCAATAAGAACTATTGCATCAACAGACAACTTTTAACGTTTTTCATTGTGCCCTGCTCATTCTTGCTGTTTCTTTCAGTCATTTAACACGGATTGTATCTCCTCGCCTATCATATAGCACTATGTAGTTATGTCTCACTATATGTTTCCATTTTCAGAACAAAAAATCATAACCGAAAATTCGGTTGAAATTAATTTAATTAATAATTAACCCGTTACCCGTTCTGTAGGTTGATGTAATTAAGTAAAACATGTAATCATTATAATTCCATTTCAATAACTTAATTAACATTATTGGCCTTTCAGCTTAAATGTGTCGAAATTCTTTAGAAGTTGAGTCCTTACACATCGTATTGGTTTGTAAAGAAATATTAGCAGAAGGTGAACTTTGTAATTATCATAATGGGCAGGGGTCAGATGTGTTGGGTCGTTTGACGTCTAATTTGTGTTACAGGTTGTTATATATAAGACAGTTTAACAATTAATTCAACAAGTTAACAGTAGTATTTTCTTTTTATTGTTATTTATTGTTATCAATTGGAGGAGTCTGTAGCAATCTTGAGACTAATTAGTCTATTTTTAGTTAAGTCAGTTTTCCCATTAAAAATATCGCTCTTTCTGGTGGTGTATATATGCAGAAAATTAGCTATCATTTTCCGTAGTGGAGCTGCAGCTCTAGACGAATTATTGGTGCTAGAAAAAGGTAGTAATGTAACGAATTAATACTTTCTACCACCATTACATCCTACGGCTAATACCTCGTTTATATATGTCCTTTATTTTTGAAATCTGCCATTTAGAAGCAGTTTACAACTTAAAACCAGAACCACGTAAAAAAGTTTAAGATGTCTTACTATAATCCTTTTTGTGTGTGTGTGTGTGTGTGTGTGTGTGTGTGTGTGTGTGTGTGTGTGTGTGTGTTTTTCCTGTAAAACTCTTACAGCGTATGCTTTTATTTTATTTTTTTATTTATCACATTATTTGTTTTAATAAATTTCTAAATTAATAATTTTTTTTCAACCACAACAGGTCCCTTTACACAGATCTTTAGCCGTTATAATTATAATTATATTATAACGTTTCCAGGATGGACCGCTGGGCGGCGATCTGGTTTTACAGGGATTTTTTTTCCCTGAGAGGTTTTATAACAATTTTTAAAGAGAATTTTTGGCGGTTAGAACATTTTTAAACAATATAAATAGACTATTTTGACTAGTAATAAAAACATGAGCACAATGAAACCATTAAATAAAAATATTGTTAAATTGATCTTACTAGCTTAAATAAACCCTTTAGACTATATACCTTTATAAATCTAAACAAACATTTCATATAAATTATTTAAATATATACATTATAACTTGACTAGATATTTCAAATAAGTAATTCAATTTTATACTCATATAAACATGAGAATAATGAAAACAAAATAAATAACATAATTTTCTAAAACATGCTTAAATAACCTTAACGGACTATATACATTTATAACTTTAAATATAACTTCTCAAATATATAATTTAACTATGTATATATATAACATAAAAAACAAGACATTTCATTTAAATAATTCGATTATATACATATACAGTTATTAATAAAATGACTATATCGACTAGGGAATTAACATAGTGATCATAAAAACATATGAATAACAAATTTAACTACTTAATACTACCAGTTTAAATACATGATTAAACCATATACATTTATTTTAAACTACCATTTTAATTAAATAATTTAACTATATACATTCATAATTTACACAATCAGTTCAAATAAACAGTTCCCTAAGAGTAATTAAATTTGTACATTGGAGTCCTTTATTTACATACAAAAAATTAAAAGCCCTTGTGGGAATTTTTTATTATCGATGATTTTCATTTTGATTTTGTGAACTGTGTTTAGTTTTTTTTTTTTCATAGACATAGTTTATAAACTTTATAAACTGTTTATAATTGTGTTTATTCTTTGTCAGTTCTACCAATTTACATTCATCATCTATTTTTTTTCCATTTCTAGTATTCTTCTTTTATGGTTACAGATTTCGCATTTCGTCACAAAATGTTCAGCACTTTCAATTTCCCCACATTGGCATAAATTGGTGTTTTCTAACTTATAATTATATAAATATTTATTAAATTTTCCATGCCCTGTTAAAAACTGGGTAGTAATATAATTTGGTTGACTAAAATTCCCGTTTTTGATTCTTGATTTAATGCATGGCAAGAATTTATAAGTAGTCTTACTATAATCCATAATTTTATCTCTACCAGCAACCTGAATATGTAGATTTTACGGAAGCGGAGCACTAGTAAATTATTCTACTTGATTGTTTCACTAAATGATTTTCATAAAAATTACGGGATTTACACCATGTTATTTATGCCATGTTTGTACTTCTACGAAAGTTGTTGATTTTAATTTTCTTCGTAAGCACAATAAGAAGACAGCTCCAAGCTTTCGAACTTCCTTTTCCACCTTTTGAAAAAGGGAAAGAATTATCATAGAAAATACAATTATTCAGAAATCGTGAGATGCGGTCTGGTATGATGTAGGTTTCAGAAAAACAGTTTCTCTATCGTGCCAACGTTTCGATCATCTTCAATCGATCATCTTCGATTGAGATCATCTTCAGGGCCTGGGATTTACAAACATTGTTTACATTTAAAAAATATATGTAGGATGTGGAAAAAAGTAAACTTATACAATCCAAAAAATATATATTTTATATTCAATCAAAGTATTTCTACTCACTCAAAGTGTTTGTTTTCTACTGTTTTATGTTTATATACCTTGGATTTTGAGGAGTGGGAAGGAAGTCGGTATAGAAAGACATTTTTGTATAAGGAGTCGGCGTCTTTGAGGTGAAAAGAGCCGACGAAGGGAAAAACTTGGCCGAAGTATTACCAACATTTTTTCCCTTAGTCTTTCAGCTCTTTTCACCTCAAAGACGCCGACTCCTTATACAAAAATGTCTTTCTATACCGACTTCCTTCTCACCCATTCAAAATCCAACATATATAAACATAAAACAGGAATATCTCACCGGTACTCTCAACACGACACGCAAGAATGACACACTTACGCAGAAAACAAACACTTTGAGTGAGTAAAAATACTTTGATTAAATATTTAAAAAAATATTTTTTTGCATTGTATAAATTCACTTTTTTCCACATCCTGCATGTTTTTGTTAAATTTAAACAATGTTTATAAATCCTATGCCCTGAAGATGATCTCAATAAAGATCGATACGTTGGCACGATAAAGAAAATATTTTTCTGAAACCTACATCACACCAGACCGCATTTCTGAATAATTATCGACTAACAGTCACTACTGACCACACATATACAAAACATTTTGAAAACCTTCTCTCCCTTCCCAAAATTTTGAAAAACACTGACACTACTGTTGCAGATCACAAAATTGGTATATATATATATATATATATTAGCATGATGTGTTATTTGCACTACGTTTCATGGTCCACAAATTTTTAGTGTACATAGTTATTGTTTAAATATGCATATTATTTTCAATATGATTATTCACAAATTTAAGAATTCTGAACGTATCTAGAAGCATCTTATCCAAAGAATCTATACCAATACACTATTGTATATTTAAACTCTTAACTCCTTTGATTTGTACCATCAGTTTGTAATTATTAAAATTTCTATATTATTTAGGATACCGTTCATTGTATTACTTGAAGCGCTAGTAAATAAGCACTTATTTCTGGCCGCCTCCATATTCACCATGAATAATTAATTTTAGACCATTTTTTATATTTTGCCCCCGTGTATGGAACTCAGTCATGTAAATTCAACAGAAGGACCATTGTGTATTCTGGCTTTAGATTTAACCATTCTGATGTACGCATTAGCGTGAGTCTAAGTTAAGCTAATATAAATTACATGTAATATTATTCATCCGTACACGTCAATCCGAAACTTTTGTTAAAACTGGATTATACTCCGAAACCTTTATAGAATAATAAAGGCGGACACGATTGAGTATGATACTTATCCGCCTTAGCAAGGCCGAACTTTTTTAAAATCAGAAAGTTTGAATATTAGAAAACAAAGTTTATGTAATAAGAAAGAGCGCTGACTTACGAAATTTAGAACAAACAAGTTCTGTCTTCTATGATTATTGTGAGTTATTAGTTTTCCATATTATTTCACATTTTTAGGAAAAGCTTCAGAAAATCATTTTTCATATAAAACGCAATATGAATTTGTTATATTGTATTCTATTGTAAATATAATTATGATTGTTAATGTAATGAATCCAAATGTCATTCAATTGACTTATTATTCAATTTTTATAACGCTAGTCCCCAGTTTATGCCATTTTATTACCGCTTGTTAATGCTTTTGTTGTTAATTAATAATTTCACACTCAGGCACAGACAGAAATATTACTTAGTACATAATCACGCAGGTCATAACAGTTGAAGTAGAGGTTGGGCCACTTCTGGTCCGAGTGACGGGCAAACGCTCAACAAAAGTTCCCGTTATACTTAACACCCCATTTACTTAAGTCGGATTTGGCGTAGTCAATGTCAATTTTTGCCAATAGTAAAGCGTAGACGCGTGACTTACATCATTTGTTAAAGTCTTTGTAAAATTTAAACAATTTTTCGTTGTAATTATTACGATATTTAAAATTGTACTTTTTAATCACAACAAGCATATGAGATAGCAGATATGACAATCTAGCATATTATTAATTTCACTATTTTTCGTGGTCCGCTTGACCAATTAATATCATTCAATTAATTAAGGTTTTTAGTTGAGATAAAAAAGTCAGTGTCACGAGCGGGATTCGAACCCACAACCTTCGGCTTGGTACGCCGCTAC